TTTCTGATAGCATAAAGTTGTCAACTCTCTGAATGGTGCTGGTGGCATGGAAGTCCAGCTATAGCTCCAGTAGATTTTATTTTGTTTCTAGAATTTGGTGGTTAAAAGAGATCAAGAGAAATAAATGTCCCAGAAAAAAAAATTGAAAATCAAAAGTTAGATTTTTAGTATCAAATCCTGAGACATGGAACATCTTCATGATAATAAAATTATGCAATAGTATGAGTACAGCAATAGATCCCCACCCACCTATCCTAAAAAAAATAACAATATCATAAGAATCCCAGGTATGGGTTTTAATGTTTGGCGCTGCAACTCAGAGTGTTATGGAGAGATATTTAGTGCTCAGTGCAGGTGAAAAGAAAAGCAGCAAATAAAGAAAAGAGCCTAGTAGCTACCCATGTAAATTTAACAAGTTTGAAATCTTCACTAAGTATAAAGACAAAGGGGAAAGCCATAGACATGAGACCTACTGATCCGGTTTGCAAAATTCTATCTTCCTAGAATTGAAATAATACCATCATATAGATATTAAGTATACTGAGAAAATATTCAATCAATGACAGAGGGTCAATATATTGTACATATATTATTAGAACACAGCAATGCAAAATACAAGATCTCAGGTCCCAGGAAAATTCACAAAGACCATTAATAAGTAATTCCTCAAAGAAAGAATACCCATGCCAAAAGCATATACAAAACACTCATTTTTTTCCAGCCATTGAAGAGAGCAAAACTCAAAGCACCCTGCTATCGTCTAATAGATAAATTGGTACCTTTATTTCCTTTTTTAACTGTTAATTCCCATTGCTGTGTAGAGTTATAGAGTTTTACATTGTTGCATCATCTCAAAGGAAAACTTCACCCACCAGGGGAGGTGAGCTTTCTTGGCATGTGCCCAGCCTTGAGTTGCTCCTCTCCCAACACATTGATTGTTCAGAAGTTTTATTTCCTGGAATCTGCCTCAAAAATGGAACAGGGTGGAGACTATTTGTGGTGCAATTCACGGAAGCATTATTTATAAAGCCAAAGACAACCCAAGAAAATCAATGACGAACTATCCTCTGCAGCTTTTAGCTAATCTATTCCCCTTTCTGCTCTGCCATCTCCTATTCAAAGACACACAGACATCACTGCTTCCCCGGTTCCCAAGCCTCCGAACCTGCATCCTGCCTGAGAGTCTTAAAGGAAGTAAGTGTGAACCCCTGCAAACCTGGTGATGGGATGACTCCTGGCGGACTGAAAATAATACCGCGAAGCCCTTCAATTCATCAGGAACCACATTAGGCCCTTCCCATGTGCTATCTTATATTTGATGCTTCTATAGTCTCTATTGCCCGGATGACAAAATAGAAGTGGCACCTAAATTGCCTATGTAGCTAGTCAATGGTAAATGTGAGGATTAAGCCCAGATTTGTGTTAGTCCGTGAATAAAACTTTAACGATCACAAGGGTAGTACCTAAAAGAATAAGAGTTACCTAATATACATTAGACAACCATGAGCTAGGGCCTGCAGTAAGTGCTTTCTATGTATCTCCTCATTTAAACTTAGCAACAGCTTCATGAGAGAGACACTATTACCATCCCCATACACAGATGAGGAAACTAGAGCCCCTACATAAGACACCCAAGGCCTTTGTCCTGAAAGCGTTAGAGCCCAAATGAAACCAGATCTAATACTCTTTGCTGCCCTGCGGAACCCCTACTGTAGATGTGGTTGTTTTGTAATATGTTATAGCACACGCTTCATCTATACATTCCCTCTTGGAAACACATATTTAACAACCCACTTGCTGAAGGGCAAGCTGCCAGGGTGGCAGATACACAGTAGGCAGCAGGAACACATGCTATTTCTGAAAAACGAGAGCTTTATTTCTTTCTTAGTTTCCGGTGAGTCAGTTCCAGCCCCTATCATATTCGGCATATTGAATGTCCCACTATAGCGCTGAACAATTCGAGTTTCCAAACAAAGCCAAGACGATGACTTCATCTTCTGTTCCTTTGTCGGGAACTCGGTCTCCTCTTTACACTTGAACATGAAGTCATCGTGGTAGCCTGCCAGTCATGAGCCCCTGCTCAGTGCTTCTGAATTCGTAGAATCTCTGTCTTGCATGACCTGGAGTAAGAACAACTCGGCACCTGTTCTCAACCTGCTAAAGTGTGTGGTGTTCTCATCAGAAGGATATCCACAGAATGCAGACGCATCACCTAGGATGAAAAATGGGCTGCACCAAGTTTTACGTTCAAAGTTTGGAGATTTGATTACAACCGAGCCATTTGCAGCTTCAGCAACTGCATGGCAACGGTTGGGGAAATTATCACTGTGATGGCCGTATGGCCAGAACTAGCAAACAGAACCTACATGATATACATTCTGTATAAAGCTCATGGCACTGGATTTCCCAGAAGACACTTTCGCTGCATCCTTTATTCTTTCCTGCAGCAAGTCGATACTCACTTGAGATTTCTGGTAAGCTAGGCAGTGTGCTGTGTGCAGAAAGAGTGAGCTCAGCCCAGTACACTCACTGTGTTAAAAAAAAAAAAAATTGATGATCTTATCAGGAGGAGACACGATTGATTTCAATACATGTTATAAATGTTGTAGTGACCAGAGGGTGGAGCTCATAGAGTGACTAAGTCTACACTGCAAAGCTTTAAAAGCTTAAAATGGGGATATTAGAGATGGAGCCATTCATGCAGATAGGGTGGTGTGAGTAGAGCAGAATTTTGAGAACTGTGGGTCCATTCATGTTTTTGGAAAGTGAGAGTAACAAGTGAGAATAGAATCGAATAAACTGACATTTTATGGATGATACGAAGAAATGTAGCTCTTTTGGGGATAGAAGTATATAGCTGTATAAAGATAAAAATTATTAATGGTGCGAATTCTGAGAAGAAGGAAGGACAGATAAAAGGGTAACTTTTGTCTCGCATGTGATTTGTGACTTTTACATTTTTATAGTGAGAGAATATACATATGCACATATATATATAGTGATTGTGTGATAGAAATAAACATCTAAATTGCGATAGACTAATATTGAGATAATAAAATGACAACAAAATGTGACAGAGCCAGGGAAACTGGAAACAGGAAGAGTCAAGTGGGCTCTGGTGAAAAATCAGACATTTCCCCCAAATATATGAGGTTAGTTTTTAAATGTGGCCAATAAAGAATGACAGAATAAGTAGGTTGATTGATTATTCCAGGGATTAGGGACTTTCTTAAATGGGAGTATCTTGAAAGGAAATGGGTGAAGAAAAGGGTTAATGAGAACTGTCCATGCTTAGAAGAGTTAGCATTGTAATGTCAGTGGGCCAGGGATATGGAGCTTAGCCTCCTTGTGTGTTTATCTTCTTGGTTTTGACTCACTCTGCTTTGAAAAGTTCCAGAAATGTCATTCTTAGTCATCAGGCTCCTCTCCTCTAGGCCCAGCTTCTGTTCCCTAAGGCCAGACTTTACAGTTTCCTAGCTCTTGGGCATTCCCATAGCATGCACTGCAAACTTCCCAGAGTGCCTCACTTCCTGTGAACTGCAGTAAGACATGGGTATTTCATCTACTTCTACAACTGTCTCCCAGTTCATCCTCCATAAACACGTGCTCATGGGAGAAAAGAAGAAGGCTGGGAAGGAGAACAAAGAAGAAGAAATTGCTTTCTCGGGTGACTTCTACAGAACGGAAAGTGTGGTACAATTGTTTAAAGTAAGATCTTCTCATTCACCTCATCCTCAAAGGGCAAAAGGAAGAATCAAGCAGCAAATATGTCAGTGTTTCCCCCACCTTCCTAACGCTGCAGCTCCTTAATACAGTTTCTCATGTTGTCGTGACCACCTACCTTCATAACTGCAATGTTGCTGCTGTTAGGAATCCTATTGTAAATCTCTGCTATGCAGATGGCCTAAGGCAATCCTAGTGAAAGGGTCACTAGAGCCCCTATGGGGTCATGACCCAGCCTGGCAGTAGAAAGACTACCTGGGAGAGGAAGAGGAAGGACGAGGGCAGAGCAGCATACCCAGTGCCCTGGCACTGCCCTCAGCTATGCTGGCTCCTTGCATATCCATCCTGAGTTTCTGATCCTACAAAATGAAGAGAGAGAAGTTTTTTCAACTGTTTGAATTTTTGAGAAAGAACAAGGAAAGACAATGCTTGGCTAGGACTCATGAATATAGGAAAGGAACGGAAGGCAGGAGACGTGTGCTCTGAGTTCCATACCAGGCGTCACCTCCATGGTCCTTATGTATATATTTGTCTTTGGTATTTCTATTGCTGAGAAGACACACCATAACCACGGCAAACATTTCATTGTGGGGCTCCGTTACAGTTTCAGGTTCAGTCCGTCTTTATCATGGCGGGAGGCACAGTGGAGCACAGGCAGATGTGGTGCTGGAGTAGCTGAGAGTCCTTCATCTTGCAGGCAATAAGAAGTCAACTGATTGTCACGCTGAATGAAGCTTGAGAAAAAGACCTTAAAGCCCACCCCACAATGACACACTTTTTCCAACAAGGCCACACCTCCTTATAGTACCACTCCCCTTGGGGGCCATTTTCTTTCAAATCACTACAATATTAAATATTTCTATTAAAAATAGAAAATAAATATTATATAATATATATGTGTCTGGCAAAGTGGATATCATTGCCATCAATGAGCCCTGACTTACCTCCCCTACATGGTCTACATGTTTCAGTATGACTCTACCCATGGCAAGTTCAATGTCACTGTCAAGGAGGAGGATGGAAAGCTTGTCATCAGTGGGAAGACCATCACCATCATCCAGGAGGGAGATCCCTCCAACTTCAAATGAAGTGATGCTATTGCTGAGTATTTCTTGGAGTCTATTGGTATCCTCACCACCATAAAGAAGACCAGGGCACTTGAAGGGTGGAAGCAAAAGTGTCATCATCTCTGCCCCTTCTGCTGATACCCCATGTTTGTGATGGGTGTGGACCACAGAAAGTATGACAACTCACTCAAGATTGTCATCCATGCTGCCTGTAGCAGCAACTGCTTACACCCCCCTCCACCTCTCCCACCCCTCACCATCCACCCTCTGGGCCAAGGTCATCCATGACAGCTTCGTGGAAGAACTCATGACAATAGTCCATGCCATCACTGCCACTCAGAAGACTGTGGACTGCTCCTCTAGGAAGCTGTGGTATGATGGGCATGGGGCTACCCAGAACATCATCCTCATAGCCACTGGTGCTGCTGAGACTGTGATCAAGGTCAGCCCAGAGCTGAAAGGGAAGCTCACGGGCATGGCCTTCCACGCTGCTACCCCCAATGTGTCGGTCATAGATCTGATATGTCACAACCGGGAGAAAGCTGCCAAGTAGGGTGTCATCAAGAAGGTGCTGAAGCTGGCATTCAAGGATCCACTAAAGAACATCGTGAGCTACCATCTTGAGCTACACTGAAGACAAGGTTGTCTCCTGTGACTTTAAACAGTGGCTCCCGCTCTTTCACCTTTGATGCTGGGGCTGGCATTGCTCTCAGTGACCACTTCGTAAAGCTCACTTCCTGGCATGACAATGATTATGGTTAGAGCAACAGGGTGGTGAACCTCATGGCCTACATGACCTCCGGGGAGTAAGAAGCCCTGGGCCACCCACCCCAGTAAGAACACGAAAGCAAGAAAAAGGCCCTTCTGATTCAGCCTCTGACAATGGGCATCTCCCCTCACAGTTTTCATCTCAGACCCCCAGAAGAAAGCAAGGTGCTTAGGGAGTGCTGTTCTCTTAAACACCATCAATAAAGTTCATCGAACCCCCCCCCACACACCCAAAAAGAAAAGAAAAGAAAAGAAACAAAAGATCAGAAGAATAGTATTTCAGGAGGTACTTTAGATTTAAGAAAGTTTCACTAAAAGCAAAGCTCCCAGCAGAGCCTGTTCAACTCCCCTCGCTCACACTTGCATGTTGGTGATGAGTAACTTGAGACCAAGAAGAGGGGATATAATTCAAGCCAATCTCCCACTGTCAGGTCACAGACTTCAGAACTGCCCTGGGTGAATGTGAGTAGAGGGTGTGATCATCCCTAAGATCTGGCAGATTTATTCCTGGGCTTTGATGCCTGGGGAAGGCTCCTCAGGCACCAACAGATGCTTCTTGCTTTAAAGAAGGCAGTTTCGAGGCACTCCTGACCCTGACTCTTTGGGTGACACCGCCCCTGTGCCTGGGAACAGCTGTTCTGTGTCCTCTGGCTCTGAAAGGACTTCCTGCCTCATTCTTTCAAAATTTAAGAGACCTTATCTGCTGTGCTCTGCTGCCGAGGCGAGATGTGGCTGCTGATAGGGTTCAACCCTTCAAAAGTTTATGGCCACTGGCCTTGGAAAGGAAACTGATGGAAAACTGATATCCAGGGAGCTGTAGGTATCTGTCCTCACCTGTCACGCCCTAGGACTTAGCCAGGAGCTCTGTGTTCTTCTGTGTAGGTGTGTGGAGAGAGATCCTCGGAGACTTCCGTTTCAGAGGTGTTTAGTTCTGACTGCTTATTAGAGAGGAAACTATTGCCTTGCACCTCCGACTCTCCCTTGTTTTAAGTGTCTCAAAACAGCGGAGCTATGCAGTGCCCCCTCACTTTAAACCACAGAAACTCAAGCGTCAAAGAGGATAACTGACTCCTGAAATCACAGCGCCAGGCATCTAACTTGATCAAAGCCACGCAGGGAGGTAATGCCAACCTGGTCTGCACCGAAAATTTCTTTATCTGAAGAATTTGTGATTCTGCCAATAATTCCTACAGTGTGTGTAAAACACATGCATGTCAGCCGGGCGGTGGTGGCACACGCCTTTAATCCCAGCATTCGGGAGGCAGAGGCAGGCGGATCTCTGTGAGTTCGAGGCCAGCTTGGTCTACAAGAGCTAGTTCCAGGACAGGCTCCAAAGCTACAAAGAAACCCTGTCTCGAAAAACCAAAAAAAAAAAAAATGCATGTCATAAGATCCCCAAATCGTATGCCCGCATATGCATCCCGAGAGCTGAGTTAAATTATATCTTCATCCTAGGTCTCAGATTGCTCATTTCTAACACAGGAGAGGGGGGCCAGGCAAGAGTCCTTCGCGGTATTCTACAGCTTGAATTTTCTTAAAATAAAATATTCCTCTAATGAAATTTTCATTAGCTGCATCAGGCAGAAAGGTGGCCACACATTTCCAAATGAGCGTTCAGTGGTGATTTCCTTTCATGCTGCTTGGTCACCATCTGTAAAAAGAAAGTATGCCTCCCATTGAGAAGGCCGAACATCTCCACTGTCGTCCCTGGTGTTTAGAACAGCAGCCACTTTCTGCCCTGCTATTGCTGTCCTCTGGAACTTTATTGCTGTTTGTTGTATAAACAAACCAATTTCTCAGTCAGGTATCAATCAGAACTGTGGACCATTGTACTGAGAACTGAACCGTTGGGCTAGATCATCACGTCATGTGCCAGAGATGTTCATATTCAAAACGTCACCGAGTGTGGGCTGTTCAGGGCCACATTAGTTAAAGAATGGACTAAAATGTAGAATCCCAGCTCTTACTTCTCCACCTCAGCTCCGTCTCTCTGTGTGCTGTTTGGATTGGTGTTGAAGGCAGCTGTGGTCTCAGGTTGGCAGCACTCATTCCAATGCTCATTCTCTCGTGGGTTTACAACTCCTGTGAGCTGGTCCTATTGAGACACCTTAACAAGCTCCCCTGGGGTCCTTCCTGCAAGAGCACCATCTTGTAGAAGATTCTCCTTAGGGACATCAATAAATAAAAAGTGATTTTAAAACATGGGTTTTGCTCTTTGATTATGTGCTTGTGTGTTTTCGTTCGCACGTTTGCATCCCCTTCTTTTTCCCCCTTTGTCCTTTCCTTTCCCTTCTTTGCCATTTATTTATTATTTATTTATTTCCTCCTTCTCATCTTTCTTTTCTTCCTCTTCCTCACCTTCCTTTCATTTTCAATAAAGATTTCACTTTGAAAAAGAGTGTGATATAACTTACCCCTACATAGTTACCTCTAACTAGACAGTAAAAATAGAATCTAAACTGGAGAGTCAGGCACAGCAGAAAACACCTAAAATCTCAGCTCAGTGGAGGCAGGGGCAGCAAAACAATTTGGAGACCATGTATGTAATAAGACCTCATCTCAAAATAGAATGAATTTTAAGAGGGGCTGGGCTAGGACTTGACTTTGGAGCAGCAGCCCTTTGTTTTAACTGAATTTAAATGGAAATACCTCTCAGTCTTCAATAACCCATCCCTTCCTCTTTTCATGCCCTTATTTCCCTCACTTTGTTTCATCTTAATCAGAGGGAGTAGCCCTTCCTTCCTTTAAGACAGATGTTATAGGTTAATCCTCCAACAAAGATATGACAGAGTAGTTACTGACATCTTTTTATTTGCTAGTGTGTATGTGGTGTGTGTGTGTGTGTGTGTGTGTGTGTGTGTGTGTGTGTGTGTGAATGGGTGGTATATATATGCTTGCTCACATATATGCATGTGAACATAGGAATGTCAAAGTACATGTTGGCATGTCAGAGGACAACCTTCAGGGTCTTCTTGCTGCTAACCCTGGTTAGCCGATCCATGAGCTTCTAGAAATTCTCCCGTCTCCACAATTCCCTTCTCATAGGAGGGTACTGGGACTAGAGATGTCTGTGCCACTGTGCCCAGCTTTTGTGGGTGCTCTGGCAATCTAAACTCAGGTCATCCAACTTGCCCAGCAAGCGCTTTTGTACACTAAGCCATCTCAATCAGCTCTAATGTCGTTACATTTTTAAAGCTTGATATGCCTGACTTCCCAAGCCAGCTGCACTCTTTAATGAGCTGTGAGACCATATACTGATTACTCCTTCATTTTCTGTATCTATAAAGAGGCTAATAATAAACCATGCTCTTTGAGGACTAAGCATTCTAATGTATGTGATGTTCTTAAAAGAGTATCAGAAATGTCATAAATTATATAAATATTGTTGTTTATAGCTCTGTATTTCTTTGTAATTATTTTTTACAATGTGATAAAGGTGTGCTGATTTTATTGAAATTATCACTTCAAGTAGTTCTTAGAAATATCTGAATAATTGATATTCCCTTGTTTACTTGGAGAACCATCTCGCTGTGGAATGTAAAGTAGTGCCTATTATTATGCGTGTCTCACATAAATTATATCGGAATAAAAAGGAATGACTGATACACCCTGTGATGGGTTAATTTTGATTACCAAACTGACTGGAATGAGAAATAGATTAGGCAAGCTTCCCTCTAGGTATGTCTGTGAGGGCATTTTTAGCAAGGATTGATTAAGAAGTCATGTTTGGTGGGCATCAGCATCTCCTAGGAGAGGTGCCCAGACACAGTAAAAGACCAAGCTCAACAGCACGGCCATGCTTACTCCACTTCCAGGACATAGTGATGTGAGCTTCACTGCTTCGTGATGCCACGTCCACCATTGGGGGCTGGCACCTCTGTGAGCCAAAACCAATCTTTCCTTCCTTCGGTTGGTTTCCTTGTCAGAGCAAGGAAAAGGCTGGAGAAGAAAAACACAGAATTCCGACTTAAGTACACATAAGCTCACTGAATACTGAGTAGTTGACTGTGGACACACAATAATGCAGTGGACAACACAGCCCCTGCGTACAGCAAACTCACTCTTTTGTGAATGAAAAGTCAGTTTTCCTGTCAGTCTTCACAAAACATAGTAAGGATCTTCCCTGGCCAAAGTGTGCACAGTTACTTCCTTATTTTAAGACTATAGCAACTCTGTGACGCTGCTCTTAGTTTTGAGATTTGCTTCACATCACAAAATTGATCAGTCACCTTCTACATGCAAGTATGACATCTGGTAAAATATTTTGTTAACTTTTGTACCCAATTTGAATTAAAAATCCAAATAAAAAGTTCATACATGGAGCTTGGCATGTAGCTGAGTGATAGAGCATGTCCTTTGTATGTATGGGGCTCTGGGTTCAATGACAAGCAGTAAAAAAGGTAGACACACCCTTACTGTTTTGGCATTGAACTTGGGGAGGCACCAAGAGGCATATTCAAATGGCTACAAAACACTGGGCTTTAATGCAAGAGTCATCAGATCATTACCAATGGTTCATTGTCTTTTTAAAGTGAAGATATTAAAAAGTTTAGAATGAGTAAACATTAGAAAAGTCAAACTTTCTTCTTTCTTGAGCTNCAACGTTTGTAAAACTGTAAACGTGGGTACTCTGATATCACTATATTCATACCTACTTTGATTTTCATTGAGTTGTTTCTGTATTAGAGAGAATTCGAATTCTTTCTTTGACCTAATAAGTATAAAGTCGGCCTTTTATTTAGATGTTAACACAGCATAGCTAACCAAACACCAGTTCTTAGTGATTTACACCAATGTTTACCAACTCAGACATTAGCTAATAAAGCTTAACTTCGTTAGCTCAGCTTCGGCTTGGTCTGTTTGAGAAACAAGGGTGATGTGTGCTGGTGCAGAACCGCCTGTCAGATGGCAGGGCTGTGTAGACGAATTGTCTCACCTTTTCAGCCGTCTTCACTCCTTAGCCTGTGTGGGACATTTGAAGTGTCTGCAGTGAGTCTGATAATTGGTGGATCAACACGTTGAACGACAACCGGAGATGAAATGCCTTCCCAGAGGCTCCTAAATATGATTCTTGGGATTTTCCTAATTGAGGTTGTTAAATCCTGCCAGGAAGGCAAGCTGTGCTGAGCGAGAAGAGCTTCACAATGGATTCCTGATGTGGCCCCGTGTGAAGTAACTCAAGTATTACGAAACACAGCGCCATTCTTTGGAGATGCAGTTCGCCTGGCCTTCATTCAATATCTTTCAGTGAGGCAGGCCAAGACACTGCCTCACTGGATTTTCACTTTGGCACTGCCTCCCAAGGACAAACTGTTGTCCCAGAATGGCACCTAATAGATAGAAATGCTCACTGCAAAGCCAACAGAGCATGAGCAGATCTCTAAGTGAAATGCAGTAACTCCAACATTAGATAGGTAGGTAGACAGATGCTATACAAGAATATGCCACTGACATTCAGGACCAAAGACTCATGGGTCTGGGTAACGTTGGCACAATAAGATGTCAACGTCTCTTTGTTTAGATGAAATCTTCCATCTTCATCTTGGAACTGATGTCCTGTACCAGAAAGAGGTGACACACAGAACTAGAAACAAGTAGCTAGATGTAGGGGCCCTCACTTGTTCTTTTTGTTTGTTTGTTTTCGAGACAGGGTTTCTCTGTAGCTTTGGAGCCTATCCTGGAACTAGCTCTTGTAGACCAGGCTGGCCTCGAACTCACAGAGATCCACCTGCCTCTCCCTCCCAAGTGCTGGAATTAAAGGCATGTACCATTACCGCCCAACGGGGCCTTCACTTTTTAAAGTCGAGATTGTGAGCTCCTTTACCTCCTCTGAATTTTCCAACAATTAACTTGGAGATGGTTAAGATAAGGGCAAATCATAGCATCCCATGCTGGGAATGTAGGAAGCTTTGGGCCATGCTAGCCTCGGCCAAATCTTGAAAATGAATATATTACAGAATTGATGTCAATAAAGAAGAATAATCAGATTATGAATAACTGCCAAGACCAGAAAATTTGCGAAAAACAAAATATTTTTAAAATAGAGATTAGAGTTCTGTTTATTAGCAAGACAAACTTGGGGACCATTATCTATTCACGTCTCTGATGATGGCAGTCAGAAAACAAAGCTTTTACAATTAATTAATTAAATCTACCTTTAATTCTCTCATGTTACCAGAGTATTGCTCCACCAGGTTTAATAAACTCCCTAGGACTCAGTTTCCCAAATAAAAACAAGAAGACTATTATATCCCCCTTATAATCAATGTCAATATTAAATGATCAAGTATTTATGAAGCATTCTGAGAGAGCCTAGGGTAAGTTTTAGTCAATGCTGTTGATAACTTTTCTTACTGCCCATTTATTATTTTTGCCATTCTTATTATATCACATTTCAAGAGAACCCTTGGCTTCAGACTTTTCTGTCTAGTTGGTGCTATTTAACAGTTACAAATACCAAAAGGGTTTATATAAGAAATTTCTGTTTAGCTGAACAATGGTGGTGCATGCCCTAATCCCAGCATTTGTGAGGTAGAGACAGGTGGGTGGATCTCTGTGAGTTTGAGGCGAGCCTGATATATAAAGCAAGTTCCAGGACAGCTAGGGCTACACAGAGAATCCCAGTCTCAGAAAAAGAAAAAAAGAAGAAGAAAGAATGAAAGCAAGAAAGGAAGAAAGGAAGGAAAGAGAAAGAAAGAAAGAAAGAAAGAAAGAAAGAAAGAAAGAAAGGAAGGAAGGAAGGAAGGAAGGAAGGAAGAGAAGGACAATTTGATTGTGTCGGGCTATAAAGAGTACTGAAATTCCTCTGTTGCGATTCTGGAGGGTCCCTGTGAATGAAAGGAAATTAAAATGGTCATGTAAGCAAAGCATATACAACATGAGTAAGATCCAAAGGCAAGCCTGACTGTATATTCAAAACCTTCTTTCAAGGGCCTAGAGGTGAGGATGGATGAAAGGTTTCGGGAACATGAGGGTTAGAAGTCCTTTTAAAGTTGAGTAGCCACTGGAGACCGAGGTAGAACTAATACACAAGGCCATGAAGAAGGTCTGGACCCACAGCTGCCCTTGGAACTCAGCCCTCCATTTCCAGGCTGAAGTCGTTTTAGATGGGTGAATCCTTGTTTTGTGCTCTGCTTTGTCCAAGGGGTGGCACATGTTGTTTCTAGGAGCGCTTCTTTTTTCCCCCCTAGTTTTTTCCCATTACTTCTTCGGGTAGATGAAGAGCTCCCATGCACAGTTTAACCTTAGCAAGTTGAATTTGTAGCTTTTCCACAGTCTGGATTTCCCAACAGCCAGTGCATGATCTCTTTTAGAGCATTGGATTAGCTCTGTGGGTGTTTTTGATATTGGACCTGCTAAATGGACCTCTTAGGGTTCTTGGTTCTGGAGTGAACTGCATCAGGGTGTAAGTCACCAAGCTCTTAGGTGACTTTTGCTGCTCTGGAAGTTTCTGGGGTGGGAGGGTTTACAAGTTTTCATCTAATGTGATACATCAGACATAAAAATCAGGGGATATTTATTGATAGTTATTGAGTGAGTCTCAACTTTGCGAAGGTTAATTTGAAGCCAACTTCTTTCTAAGCCTAATTGATTCAGATTTGAAGTCCTCAGGGCCCCTCTGGAAGTTTAGGGCTTTAAGTTTTTTGCTTTCTTGCTGTGGAAGATTATCTCCCTATTGTTTCTTGACTTGTTGGGGGAATGGAGCTCATTGGTAAATCACATCTTTCCCTATGCCTGAAATTCTTCTCTCCTTTGCAAACTAAGTCAGAGTCACTCAACCTGTTCTCTACCTGGGTCTCAAGGTTACCAGCCAAGGGTGTGGTGAGCAGGGCAGGTGGCCCAGGAAGAAAGGGTGTGTCTTTTGGTGGGGTGAGCTGCCAAGCATCAGGTTGCCATGACTGCTCTACAGTTTCTTATTTTATTGATTTTATTGCGCTCTACATTTTTCTCTGCTCCCCTTTCTTCCTCTCCCTTCCCCTTCTACCCTCTCCCATGGTCCCGAGCTACCAGTTTACTCAAGAGATCCTGTCTTTTTCTTCTTTTTATGAGATTAGATCCATGTATGTCTCTTCTAGGGTCTTCATTGTTGTCTAGGTTCTCTGGGATTGTGATTCGTAGGCTGGTTTTCTTTGCTTAATGTTTAAAAACCACTTATAAGTGAGTACATATGATAATTGTCTTTCTGGGTCTGGGTTACCTCACTCAATATGATGTTTTCTAGCTCCATCCGTTTGCCTGCAAATTTCAAGATATCATTATTTTTTCTGCTATGTAATACTCCATTGTGTAAATGTACCACATTTTCCTTACCCATTCTTCTGTCAAGGGGTATTTAGGTTGTTTCCAGGTTTTGGCTATAACAAACAATGCTGCTATAGACATAGTTGAGCGCATGTCCTTGTGGCATGATTGAGCAGCCTTTGGATGTATACCCAAAAGTGGTATTACTGGGTCTTGAGGAAGGCTTTTTCCAATTTTCTGAGAACTCACCATACTGATATCCAAAAGGGCTGTACCAGCTTACACTTCCACCAGCAACGCAGGAGTGTTTCCTTTACCCCACATCCTCTCTAGCATACGTTGTCATCAGTGTTTTTGGTCTTGGCCATTCTTACAGATGTAAAATGGAATCTCAGAGTTGTTTTGATTTGCATTTCTCTGATGGCTAAGGATGTTGAGCATTTCTTTAAGTGTCTTTCAGCTGTTTTAGATTCCTCTGTTGAGAGTTTTCTGTTTAGATTTGTACTCCATTTTTTATGGGATTACTTGTTCTTTTGATGACCAATTTCTTGAGTTCTTTGTATATGTTCGAGATGAGACCTCTGGAGGCATCACAATCCCTGACTACAAACTCTGCTACAGAGTTACAGTACTGAAAACAGCCTGGTAGTGGCATAAAAACAGACAGGAGAACCAATGGAACCTAATTAAAAACCTGGATATTAGTTCACACACTTTCCAACACCTGATTTTTGACAAAGAAGCAAAAAATATCAAATGGAAAAAAGAAAGCATATTTAACAAATGATGTTGACATAACTGTATATCAACATGTAGAAGACTGAAATAGATCCATATCTATCACCATGCACAAAACTCAAGTCCAAATGGATCAAAGACCTCAACATATACCCAGCCACACTGAACCTCAGAAGAGAAAGTGGGAAGTACACTTAAATGCCTTGGCATGGGAGACCCCTTCCTAAATATAACCCCAGTAGCACAGAAACTGAGAGAAACAATTAATAAATGGGACCTCCTGAAACTGAAACACTTTTGTAAAGCAAAGGACATGGTCAATAAGACAAAACGACAGACTACAGAATGGGAAAATATCTACTCTACAGTTTTTAACAAGGAAATGAATCAAGATGGAGGAGAAAAGACTTGGACCTGACTCTTATCTTCATCATTTGAAAGCTAATTTTAGGGAATAATAATACTTTCCAATGCTCTCTTCAAATTAAATGACTGAAACAAATTCTCCGTTGGAGTATTTCTAACAGTATTAGAAATGAAGCATATTAAAGAAGAACAAGAAATTAGAGCATAGGCCATCTACAGTCAGTGAGTGCTAGACATGGTACTTCATACATGTTCTCACATCCCTTCCTTTTTATCTATGGGTGGTAGCATCATCTGGACATAATACTTCATACATGTTCTCATGCATTCCTTTCTATCTACGGGTGGCATCATCACTTCACTTTGTGGAGGGGAACACTGAATTTGGTGACCTTCCTCCCAGGCAGCAGTTGAGTACCACAGCAGAACTAGAACACCAGCTGACTCTAGCATCCATACCCTGCAGCCAGAAACCCGGGTCATTGGTGCTATTTTTTGGGGTCTCAGGCCGTATAAAAGATGATGCAAGTAACTGCTAGTGATATCAAAGCATGAATATAACAGGCATGGAAGAAGACCATGGAGGCAGAGATCTTTAAGATGTTCAATAAAAATGACTCTCAACGTTCAGGTGCTTTATGCTAACTGGGAGAATGACTGAACGGTACACCAACAGTGCACTCCAAATGTGTGTCTATCATTGCCAGGGCTCCTCGGAGGAATTTAGAGCCTTGCCATTGTATCTTCCCGGTAAAGAGAAGGAACCAGAAGCTCAGGAAGTTGCCATGACTGACTTATCCAGAGTCACATGACACGTTCTTAGACCAGCTGAAGCCAAAACACAAGTCACTTCCAAACTGGCCAACTGCTTATGCAATCTCACTTTGGCTTCTGAAAGGGGCTCACTGTGGTTAAATGGTGATTTTCAAGATCCCTAATAAACCTCACTCACTAAACAGTTCCTGACATCAACTTAAATATGAATTAAAGAGCCTCCCTGGTGTCTGTCCCAGAGGACGGTGCATTCACATATGGACCGCCAACCTCTAGGAAGCTGATGGCACTCACTAGCCAGATTTAACATTCGCTTCGGTCTAGTCCTCTGTGAAGGATGGGTGGTGGAAACTAAATGGTAAGCAAGACATTGTGTATCAGAGACATCATATACATATGGCCAGTACTTGATGGAAGACATTTATCTGGATGAATGTAATCTAAGGTGGAAAAGTGTGTGTGTGTGTGTGTGTGTGTGTGTGTGCGTGCGTGCGTGCGTGCGTGCGTGTGTGTGTGTGCTTATAAGAGGCTGCCTGTGTGTGTTCTCTTCAGAATTAAAGAGGTGTGCTAAGGTCATACGGATTCACGCCATTTTCCATCCAAGAATGTTCTTTTTCCTTGCTCTCCACATAATATTGAATTACCCTTTCAACTTTCAATTCCCTCTGCTTCCCTTGTGAAGCCACCCATAGCTTACAAAGTAGTTTCCGCAGCTTTCCAGACAGCCTAGCACTCAGATAACATCTACTTACTGTTCAGAGCTCAGTTTAAATGTCACCATCTCTGGGAAACACACTTTGATATGAGGCTTAGTCCCCTAATACATGCTGTCATTGTCCCTTCTAGTCTTTCCTCCACGCACTTGTCACAGTTCCCTGATGGTAATTGCAGTGCTTGACTGAAGTGAAATCAGTCTCCCTCAAGTTGAAGGGAAGACAGGACTCTTTGTCCACGCTTGCCTCGCTCAGGGTCTAGAGGAGCCCTGCTCACGAAGCGGATCTCGGGTAGAGTCTCGGACTGCACGAGCAGCTGTCACTGTGTGCTGTGTACAATTCTCCCCCTGCTGAAACGTCTGGTGAATTTAGTTCCTTTACAGTTTAGTCAACTGTTGGCAGAGTGGAAGTGTTAAAAGAGAGTTCAGATAAGTGAAAAGTGTAAAATCTCTCACCCGTGGAGTTTGTAAATTCTAATAAATCCAGTCAGCCAGCTAGAAAGATTCCTATTTTCTTATCACTTCTTTCTCCTAGAGAGACAGGATAAAAATTCACAGAAGGGCAGTGCTCCATATTTATAAAATGCTGTGACTTTGAAATGATGTCTGCTCAGTTGTATGACTTCCCTCAAGTGTTGTCCAGAGATGCATAATATTTCTCTACCTGCTGGCATTCTCCACTCAATGTCTGGTGCAGAAATTTCAATACCCAAGCATTCTGGAAAGCTGGGAGAGATAGACCCAAGAGGTTGGAATTTCATGAGAACAAGTTGCTCACTCAGTGCCTTTTTCTAGACGGATCCTTCAGGAAACTTGAGTGTCTGCTTCCCCATGTATAAAATGGGTATAACAATAAAACCCACACATAGAATTAATAAAAATGTTAAATAACATAACAAGCAGTATTTAGATATATAGTATGTGTTAAGTTGGAGCAGAAATCAACAACAAAGAGGATTTTGTTGTCTTAGTTTCTCAATAATAGTTTTTCACAATAGCAGAATTTTTATGAATGAAGGGATTTGGGACTGGGGTATCACTCAGGGCAAAGACCATATCCACAGAAAGTGGGTTTAGTTCTAATATCCATAAATGGCCAGATAAACAAATGAGATAAAATGATACTATGGGTTTTTCAGAATTTGGAAGAAGAAAAGCAGAAACGATGCTATCAAACAGATTTTTAAGCCCCTACATATATTCGGGCACTATTTGTGTGCACTAATTAAAACTGTGCTGAATGTCAGACTTTTTTATACTTTTTAAATTGTATATCATGAAACCTTAACTTTTAATATAGATATGAAGACTACAAGAATGGTATAATCACTTCCGGTTAGATTCATATTTGTGGAAACAGCCATCCAGGCACAGCTGAGAAAGGGAAGAGGGTAAAGTAAGCAACGACTTCCTTTTATCATCGACACTGGAGCCTTGGACGTGGCCAGGGCTTCAATCTTCTTGAGGGGGAAAGGCAATGGTAATCTAGGCTGGGACAGCATTCCTTTTCTGTACTTGAGAGCTTTTGCTTCCAGGGAAATTTTACTAGGAAGCAGACAACTTAAACAACCATAACCCAGCTGTTGTTCACGGTGGGGTTGGATAAAGAAACACAGGTGAATTAGACAAGATGCCCTCTGAAGTCGACCTCGAGAACCCAGAAATTTGACTTTTGGCAAAAACATTTGAATTGTGTAGCAAAGCTTATGAGAAATACTGATGTTCCAAACCAAACTGTACACATGCTGATTCAGTAACCCTGGGATAAAGTCTTTGCACTGCTAAGAGTTGTAGCTCTCCAGGATGTTCTAATGGCAGAATTAAATAGTTATGCCCAGAAGAGTTAAATAATGTTGTCATTTCTCAAACACGTCCCTTCTTTCAGCTGTGTTAGAGAAACTTAAAGACTGATCATTTTAAGTTATAATTGGGAAAAATGACTAGAAATATTTGAACATACATGTAGATTTAAAAGAAATTTCTATGACACCAATTATTGGATTTAATAGAAATTGAAGCCTAGGTGTTTCTTCTTTAAAAAAAAAAATCAGTGTGGTAGGTGATACCTAACACATGTCTTTCTGATACATGGAATTGTCCCTTAGCTCATAGCTGCCCCTCTCACCAACCATGGGCGTGACTATCATTGCCATGTTAAATTAGAAACTGAAGTAGGTGGGACAAGATATGGAGTTCTTAAAACTCTGTTTAGTATATTATACAATTTTATGTTTGAAATTTGAAAAAAAGTGTGCTGATTTGACAAAGCTCGGGAGATGCCTTCTCTGGTGGGTATGCTAGAGATCCAAGGTATGGAGTCTTTTAACCAAGTGAAAGAAGAGATGACCATTTCAGACCTGAAACAGCATCACCTGTCCTCAGAAATGGGTCATGCGAGGAAGAACCATAGTTCTCCACTGTGGATGGGTGATGCAATTCTTTAGCAGAACCTGCTATACTTCAGAACAATGGAACAGCACAAATAAATACTAAGACTGAGCAACATTTGGTCCAGACAGATGCTGTAAAGACACCATCTTCTCCCACCTTGCCCACCCTACATCTTAGCTATTGAGAAAGTCTCCATGGCAAATTGGAATATTTCATGTGTGTTCTTCCCTCTAAATCCCTCCAACTTTATTCTACACATAATATGCATACAGCAAGACCATAATTAAAAGCATGAATTTGGCAATACACAAAAGGCTTAGGAACATGAGGGGACAAAGCATGCTATTGTGACCTCCGTCCTTAATTGTATCTTTCTGTTTTGTTTTGTTGTTGTTACTTGTTTATTTGTTTTGTTCTGAAGATGATTTCTATCTTTTGGCTATAGATTCTGTCTTCCCAGGTCAGTACCTACAAATCAGCCTATTTGGATCTTAGATCTTCCATAGCTTGCTAGATATAAAGGCAAACTTGCTATACATACTTTGCATTGGTATGGATCTTGGTTTATTGCTACAAATTTAAGATCAATTTTGTTATATATGTATATTTCTCTTCTTGATTAATGTATTGTGTTTGTGTAGCTCTTTTAAAAATGTAATGTATAATTTAAAAACATAGGTTAATAGTCATCTATAATAGTCAAATGTATAGTCTTGTAGTTAGGTTTTCTAGATATATAGAGATATATTTCAGTTAGATAGGTATTATTCAAATCTTTCAAAGACTATGTATATGTATTTAAAATGTTTTAAGAACATAGATTTTTTCATGACAACGAGACACATCTGCTCCGGGCAGCACCAATCTACTTCAAGAGGATGATGGGCACGGAAAAGGCTCCTTATGAAAGTTGTTAGCCATTTGGGCAAGAAACTGTTCTTGACTAGACTGTTTGGTGTTATGTTGTATGAAATGGACATGCAGGACCCACAGAGAAATGACTACTGGACTTGCCTAAAGGTGGGATGATCCTTCGGGGTTCCTGCTTCATGAGTCTCCCAGACATTCTGCAGGACACAGAAGAAAGTGACTGATAAACTGCCAATATAGGTGGAACTGTCTTTGAAATTTCCTGCTTCATGGAAAGGTCTGCCAGATAGTATGGGCCTGTAGGCTGAAGATGGATGCCTGCAACATTACAGAAGGCCTTTGGGTGACTGTCCAGGTAGCATGATGTCTCTGTCAATTCCAGAGTTTTAGATGTTGCTTACAATGCACTTCCTGTTTACTTGGGTAATATATCCTTCTGGGGTCTTTGATGGAGTTGAAGAATAGATAGTTATAGGTTCCTTAATTATAATAAAAGATAAAAGTAGACATAAATGTTTTAACTGTAATTCTTGCTTGATACCTGTTTTGTTATATGTAATTTAACTATATTAAATCTAAAACCTTTCTTTTTATTTAAGCAGAAAAGGGAAGGTGATGTGGGAGGTGATGTATGCTGTGAATATGTTTTATTGCCATTGGTTAATAAAGAAGCTGTTTTCAGGCCAATGGCTAAACAGAGTAAATCCAAGCTAAAAGAGGTATATAGAGAGAGTAGGCCGAGTCAGAGAGAAGCCATGTAGCCCCACCAGAGACAGATACTGGAAGGAAACTTGCTGGGAAGCCACAGCCATGTGACAATACACAGATTAACAGAAGCGTGTTAAATTAAGATGTAAGAGCTACCCAATAAGAAGTTAGAGCTAATAGGCCAAGCAGTGATTTACTTAATACAGTTTTACAACACAAACTGTAAAGCCAGAAGGCCACATGACATCAGCAGCCTTGAAAGATAAGGGCCAGACAGATGACTTGGAATAATAGTCTTTAACTGGGGAGTAGTTCTGACTCCAAACCCCTAATCCACAAATGGAAACCACAAATCACCCCTCCTCCAGAAGGAAGGATCTTCATTATATAGTTTTGTTTCCTCTCAGTGCACAAAGCCTACCCTTCAGGATGTCTGAGACTTGTTTTGTGTTTTGTTACAATTCGCCGAAATGTCTCTCTTGCCAGCTCTCTCACAGGACTTTAGCAATACATATGCAGATTAAACATTTAGCTTTGCTGATAATTATTATCAACACTGATTGCATTTTAGAATCATGTCATCCTAGTTAATAGCTATATCACATTAGCTAAAAATATAGGTTTTAAAAATAATAAATCATATCATTCAGGTGTTTTCAGCATTGTTATTTTCTTATTCCCTTTTTATAGTCTAGCTAGATGCCGGCACACATTGGATATCTGTAATGAGAGCATAGAAAAAAAGACACTGTTTCAATGTGTCACATACACACTTCCTGAACTTATCACTGTGATCATTTTAATCCTACATTTAATATTGTATTTATAGATTTATCTGAATATATTAAGCCAGTGTTCTATAATCAATATTTGAATTACAGTTTATGAGAGTAAAATCTATTTTGTTATTGTTAATACACCTATAATCATCTAAATACATATCTTTATTTCATTGTTTTAAAGACTTACCTTTGTAGATAAAATAATCCCAGAAACGTTTGCTATGTAAAGGATGAGAATGTATTTGTAGCTATAGAATAATGGCATCTTTGCTCTTTTACTTATCTCATTGCTTTTCATTAAGCAAAAATCAGATCATTATGCTAGAAAATGATTGCTTTTAAAACATATTATAAATATTAATATTAATACTTTAAGTACTAAAATCACTACCATACTAAAGTTAAAATCAGGAAGGAAAATTTAGAACCTGTATTTAAGACTTTTAAAATGGACTCGGTAAGCTCATGCTCAGATGAAATTGAATCTTAACTATTCTTTAATTCAGGTTTCAAATATTATTAGTGTTAGGTAAAAAAGAAAAATAAAGTTGTTTTCTGCTTAGCTTATTGAACTTTCCAGGCACAAGGAAACAAAACACACAAATGGCAACATCTACAAATAAACCCCAGAGTTCCATAAGGTACAATATACCTACACTCCATTCTGTGGGTTCTCGTTTTGTCGTCCTGGCTGTGTTGTGTTTTAGCCTGCGTCCGAGGCTTCCATTGCTGTTTTCCTTTCTTTCTCTTTGTTTTCTGGGCTGCCAAGTTGCTTTCCTGATCTGGATCAACAGATTGGGAAGGAGACTTAAAGCAGCCGTGACAATATCTAGTGCTTGGGGAGTGTTTACCAACACTGACTTCAAATGACTGTGTGCTATCTTTTTACTTCACATACGCGGAGCAAACATTCCTTCCTGCCAGTTGTAGTTGTCATGAGGACTATATCCACTTACAGAAAACAACCTGTTGTTTTGAACAAGAAAAGCACAATCTATCTTTTGAGTTCTTTCTGTTGTCAGCTAAAGCTTGATTTCTCTTGTTATTGGTCTTCCATCCGTATGCTTTGTTCTAAAACATAAACTCCAACAGCACACACTAGCACTCAGTTTGGTCAGTGAATTTCACCTCTGGCCCAAATAACACTAACTGGGGAGGCAAAACCCACACAGCCTTGCATGCCAGCGTTTCTAGTAAAGCTTATAAGAAACCCAGGAAATATGTTGGGTTATCACAGTAGACATGCCGTAGAAGGAGGCATGTGTAAGTGCGGCTTCTATAATTTTGATTAGAGGGATTTATTTTATGTGTTTGGCGGAAACACACACATGGCATATGTATGGAGTCCAGAGGAGAACTTGGGGAGCTTGGTTAATTGCTTCTCTTCTTCCACCATGTGGTATTTGGGGATTGAACTCAGGTCAACAGAGATAGTGTCAGGTGCCTTCGCCTGCTAAGCCATTTTACCAGCTCTGAAAGTGTGTTTGAATAGAACAAGCACAGTCTTAAACACCGTAAGTAAGCAATTTTAGAGTATCAATGTATTATTATATAGTTCCCACAGAAATCAATCTGCCCACACCCTCAGAATAAGTTACCATAATGTAACCATTTAGTTATGCAAATTTCATTTTTTCCACCTAAAATCCATTAGCTTGCTGCATAATGTATTTTATGGATTATTATATTAGCATTTACACTTATGTCAACAGAAACACATTTCTTATATATTTAAGGTAGTAGTTAACCTTGTCCTAATTAAAAACAAGAAAAACGTACATTATTTTTGAGGCAGAGTCTTGTTACACAGCTCAGGTTGGTCTTTACTTACCACCTTTTCCCTGAGCCTCCCAAGAGCAGCTATTACAAGTGTGTAGCGCCATGCTCCTTGTGTTAATTTGTCTACCTTTTAGAGTATATACAGGCTTGTATGCCTAGGGAGGCCAGACGTGTCAGAGCTCCTAGAGCTGGAGTTACAGACAGCTGTGAGCCACTGGACGTGGGTGCAGGAAACAAACTTGGGTCCTCTGGAAGAGCAGCATGTATCCTTAAACAGCTGGGCAACCTTACAAGTCCCATTGGTTTATTATTTCTCCTGAGAAAAGGTTGCGAAGAAAACATTTGTGTACTTTCTTTGAGAAATTGAGATGCTTTTAATTTCCCACTTTCCCTAATGAATGTCTCTATAGGACATTGTTCTCTCCTCTCAGTTGTCATTGTCGTTCTAAAGTGGACCCTCTTAAAAGAGAACATACATGTGGGAGCCATTACCAGGACAGCTCCATCAAGGTACGACAAGATCCAAGTACTGTAGTTCTCTCTTAAGCTCTGCATCTTGCAACAGCCTTTCCCCCTCTTTCTTTGTTCACTATGCAGAAAGTGTTTGTTTTTATACTTTTGGTTGTGAGCTTAGCCTTTAATGGCTGAGCCATCTCTCCAGCCCAAGTGTTTTTTCTTTATATTTAATGGGAATATTATATCAATGAAGAATTGCTTATATCTATAAATGTGTTGAATCATTTTAAACAAAGATGCAATGATCAGGTTGTACTACTTAGTAATACCAAAAAGATGTGTTGTTTGACATACATTTTTCAAATATTTATTTTATTTTTAAAAGCAAGGTTTTTTTTATTCCTCCCTTCCTCTTCTCTGTCTTCTTTCCTTCCTTCTTTTTATCACTAGATTTAGAATACACACTCATGTCATGGAGACCTGTCCACATGTTAGGGGAAGGGCTGTTGAGAAGAGAAAAGGCACCCTGATGCCCTTTGTGAAGTAATTCTCGCTCCAGGTTGTGGAAGGAATGAGGTTACTTGTTTGAATCCCGGTATCACTACAGGATCGAGCTAGGATCTAAACTGAGCTAGGAACTTCAGCTGTACCAGACCCCAGACAAGTTTCTCAGCTTCCACGCTGCTGCTGTGGAAACTTCTGCTCGTAGCTAAAATCGGAGCGGGTGGGGCTAATTTAATTAAAAGGAATGATTTATAACATTAACCCAAGCTCCTCTCAGTGTTTCCATTTCTCTTTTAGCTGCCGGTTTGTATCATTTCTTATTTTACCTTCCCGGTTCATCCAACTGTAGTTCCCGGACTTACAAAAATACACTTGCTAAAGACAAGTTCAAGGACGGGATGAACTTCAAACTCTACACAGTTATTTATGCTGTTGCAGTGTTCAGCTCAGAGAGTGCCGGGTTCTAAGGTGGATCAAGGAAGGCAGGGTGGCTTGACAAGAGTCAGGGAAATTCCAGGGGCTGGGGCTTGCCAGATTGCTTGCTGGCTCCTAATTGCCAATCTCCACCTCCTGCTCTTTTTGCGCAGCTGTGGGCCTCATTAAATCGTGATGCCTACAAATCACATCAGCATTAAAATGCAGAGCAGGGGGGAATTCCTGAACACAGGCCGCTGCCAAGTTCCTAGAGTTTTAACGGCCCACTCATCAGACTGTCTCTCTCTCTTCTCTGGAACTATAAATAAGTTCAATATTAGGAGGGTTTTTTTTTTTTTTTGCATCCATTGTAATACCTACCCATCCACTTGGAGTGTTTGAAATATGTATGAACACCGATGATGGCGCCCTTGTCTCCATAAACATGGCATGCGGTATGTGTGGTTAGATGTCAGACTCGATAGAGCTAAGGATCTTTCATTGGGGTGAACATCACTTAATCCCAGAAGCACAGATTTTTTTTTTCTTTCTCACCTCTGTTTGATTTTCAAAAACCATGTTGTGAGATTTAGGGCAAGGCGTTCAGTTTCTTCTGTGCTCAGTGGCGAGAACTCAACATGCGTGTAATTTTATTCATCATATGGAGAGTTGGTATGTGCAAGATCTGGTACTGAGCGGATGGTGGCAGGTAAGTCAGATGAAGCTCATGGCTGTGAACCAAGGCAGGGAGATGTCAGCTGTGAAGAAGAGATGCTGGAGTTGTGGGAAGGACACGGTAGGAATACAGGGAGATCCCAAGTCCATCCAGGGTGACGAGAGAAAGTTCAAGAAGGAAGCAACCTTGGGTATAGGCTTTGACTGATGGGTGCTCGAGAAGAGATAGATGGGGAACTGCAGGAGAAGCGGGAAATGAAACAAAAGCACAAACAAGAAAAGACGCTCTACAGATTATCAGACATGTAAAGGAAAGAGGGTCTACAGGTATCTTAGGAGTCCCTCATCTGTCAGGCAATGGGAAATGGTCAGTAACACTGGGAGTAGTTTGAGCACATGTGAACTCAAAGACCACCCCCACAATGGCACACTTCCTCCAACAAGGCCACTCCCTTTGGGATGATGGGGGTCAACTACATTCAAACTACCACAGTAGGTATTGGAAAAATCAAAGAGTCTGAAGAGTTTTAGTAACGGGTCTAGGAGAGGAAGACAGAAGAGCTTGAACTGGCATGTTTTATTTAGCAATCACCCTACACAAGCACCGTAATAGGCGGTAGCAGTTACTGGGACACAACTCCAAGCTATAAGGACGGGAGACAAGCACAGAAATGTACAGCTACTATCAAACTCATCTTCGTCGTGTGGCAAAAGACAGGTCTATTTTTAACTGGGGAGAAACAAGAAATTCTTTTTGAAACACGCACTATGAAGTTAGAGAAGAAATAACCAGGTTATCAATAGGTATCTTCAGCCATTCTGGGCACTGACACAAAATACAACAAACTGGGATGGTAAAACAAGACAATGTTATTCCTCACAGATGTGGAACCCTGGGAGACTGAGGTCAAAGCCACAGAAGAGCTAGACACTGGGGAGATGACCGAGTGGGTCGAGTGCTTTCTGTGTAAGCATGAGGAACTGTGTTTGAATTTCTATCACCCATGGTAGAGAAAGAGAAAATCAGGTGTAATAGCAAGTGCAGCGTCTGTAACCCTAGCCCTGGGAGGGTGGAGCCAGCAGTATAAATGACAACAGCCAGTTCCATGTTCAGTGAGAAGCTGCGTCTCAGAGATAACATAGGGAGATACAGAGGAAAACGCCTAAAGCCAAATACCCACAGATGAGTGTAATGCCCATATATGAACTCACTCTCTCACTCTCTCTCTCATGAACACACACACACACACACACACACATGCACGCACACATGCACAAAACACACTGAAACTAGAACAAAACAAAACCCAAAATTCAACAATTTTCCCACTCACTGGGAAGGTCGTTATGAGAAAGACAATGGCATGCATTTTGTTTTGTTTATCTCCTTTTGGGTACAGTTATCACCTTATAGCTTCCCCTGAAGTCATGCTTCTGCTGGGATGGGTCTAAAACTACCTAAGATTCCTCCCTTGCTCTCTAGATTATTTTTCTTGAACCCCCTTCCTTATCTTCCCAGTCCTTCTTTGCCTACAGACTGGATAGAAAGGAACCAGAGGAAATCTTTAAGGTTCTAAGAGTAGCTGAGCAGTTGAGGAAAGGACTCTAAGATCTATGGGACACTTGGGACAACACTGAACATGGAAGCCACATGCAGGGAAATTTCCTAATGAGACTTGGTGTGAGTGAGGACGTTCGATGGTGGGACAGGGTTAGAGTCACCACATTTACATTTTATTGTAGTTCTGTTTTACAGCTGATCTTGGACAAAATACTGAGAAGTGATCGCATGTAGTTGAGTCCGGCTATGAAAAAATCATGGCCATGGAAACTTTCTCATCTCCTGGAAGATGAGGCTCTTGGGAATGGCTCTCCTGTTTTTCTAGGAATGCACTAGTTTTATGTTCTTTGATGTAGCAAATTTTGATAAACACAAGAACTCTTAGGTATACCATGCCAGCAAATTGCAATTATAATTA